TATTTATTTATTTATTTATATGTATAAATAAATATTTATATAAATGTGTATGTATAAGTCAAAATTTCTGATTTGTAAAATGTAAAAGTTGTTTTGTTATTTTTGAAATAGGGTAAAGATAAAGTAGGGAAAGTGAATTTTTCCCTAGTGGAAATTGCTGTGCCCGACAATGGCTTCATAGCAGCTGCTGTTAAATAATTCAAGAAACATCTCTCTCTCTCTCACAATATTGCCGAAGCCCATGGGGGCGTACCCGTATTTGGTAGAGTTGGTTAACATACTTGTGAAGAAAATGATCTTTACATGAAAATGAAAGAATCCGGAATGATTAATGAAGAAAATATTCCAGAATAAAAAATGGCTCTAGTTTACGGCCAGATGAATGAACTGCCGGAGCTCATATGAAAGTTGGTTTGACTGCCCTAACTATGGCGGAATATTAACCTTGAGTGGTTGTTTAATTGGTCAGACCTTGAGTTTGCTCTCCAGTGGTGGTTTGCTCCTTAGTGGTCACCAGTTCAAGTCCTCCAAATGCCACTGAGGTGAGTATCGATTATAAACTTTAGGGTTCCGTGTGATTAATCGAGGTGCGCGCGCAAGATAGCCCAGACATCTACGGTTATCAAAAAAAAAAAAAAAAAAAACTATGACGGAATATTTTCGAGATGTTAATGAATAAAACGTATTTCTATTTATCGACAATATCTTCTATTTAGTCCAAGTAGGATCCGAAGTATCGGCATTATTGGGTAGAATGCATTCCTCTTTCGGTTATCAACCTACCCAGAGTACCGAAATGGGTACTCTCTCTCTCTCTCTATTTAGTATTTATACATCTATTTATTTCGAAGAGGTTTTGACGAGAATATCATGAATTAATTTGGTAATGGAGACTCTTCCATAAATATCATGTTACATAAACTCTTCCAAATGGAAATCAAATAATCAGGCATTGTGCAATATTTATTTATTTATTTATTTTACTTGTAAGCAATAACAAACACCCTCTTAATCCATTAAGATAAATGGCTTCACAAATTCATATTGATGCTTGTATAGTTCTAACAGTGGCTTGAGGGTCTAGTGAAGCATCCACTTTTATTATCCCTTCGGCTTCCTCGATCTGAAGCAAAGCTAATTGAGATTGCAAGAGCTTAGCAGGCATGAAATGATTCCCCTCTGCGGCTCTTTTCTCTAGTCGAGCAGCAAGCACCTCAGCCGAAACATCCAACAGAACAAACTTTACTACACCTAAATACGAACTTGGTATGTAATCTGGATCAGCTGATCTAAGAATTTCTCTGTACTGCTTTTGCAAAGCGGAACATCCAAGAATTACAGTGTCTCCATTCAACAAGCCAACTCGTAGGACATCGCGTAGAGTTTCGAGCCAAGGAATGCGATCTTCATCTGAAAGAGGGATCCCATTCTGCATCTTTTCTGTATTGTTACAAATATCATCGTGCTATACATCAAGCAGGATAAGTCCCCAACCTATGCACAATGTAGCACTTGGGACCTAACCTATGTTTCTTGGCATCTAGGTCCTCACCCTTTCAATTTTATAGCACTAGGTCCAAAGTGAATGGCTCCCGTCTATTTGACCGTTAGTCAAGATATTGATTCAAAATTACCCGTGTTAAAAATATATATATATATTTTTTACCATGGGTGAAGGGGGAAGCTGCCAGTGTCAGGTTTTGCTGGGGTTCGGCAAGAGGGGAGAAGCAGCCGAGGGTGGGAAGGTTTAGATGGGCTTGGGGGCAGGCAAGGAGAAGGGGAAGGGGAAGGGAAGCAGCTGTGGTACGCAGTCACATCGAAGCAGCTGGGGCAGGGGTTTTGAAAGGGAGGTCAGGTGGGGGTTAGCTTTTTCTTTTTCTTTTCTGTTTTATTTGATTTATCATCGAAATTAATTTATTAATCATTTGGCCACTCAAACAGTGTTTCAGGTCAATGGACGGAAACCATCCACCAGTGCGATAAACTGAAAGGGAATGAACCAGATATCAAGTAACATATCTTAGGGACCTAAGTACTACATTACGCATGGGTTTGGACCTCCATTATAATTTTTCTATATATAGCTGACGACAACATGATCTGCTAATGCAAATCCTTACCTTTGTTTGATTGTGGATGGTAGTCATCAGCATCAAGAAAGTGTCCATCGATTGCTTTTGCCAGCATTGCTCCTACTGTTCTGCAGAAGAAATGACATGATAAGTGCAAGCAGATACAAGTGATAGAATATTTCGTTCTAAGATTTGAATTAAAATTCAAATTACAGAAATGGAGACAAAAGAGGTTTGTAAATGGAAATGGTTAATTTGAAAAGGAACTAAATCGTTAGTTTAAAGCTATAATTATTAATTTGAGAAACTTAAAACAGAAATTTAAGGAAGAAACAAATGCAAAATTTGGTTACTAGAGCTGTTATAGTGGCTGCTTGCTTTTCAATGCTAAATGATCAATATTACTAGTAATGTAACTAACTGGAGCCAACAAGTACAAATTAAAGAGAGCATACAACAAACACTGCAACTTGAGAGGCTCTAAACAGTGTCAATAAATATGAACCGATGATCCAAAATGAGATGAGTGATGCACAGTGGCAAGCAGATTTACTCGGTATCTTATACTACTAATAGTGTCTTCAAAAACTTCACCAGACATGAGTGGATCTTGTGGTTGAATATATGTAGGTCTATGAGGGTTAAAAACTAAATATAAGAGACAATCAAATAAATATGCATGACAAAGCGGGAATACGGTGTAAACACGTTCTCTTTTTATGCTAAACAACTAATATTGTCAAATTAATCTCGCCCTCAACCTCTATCCAATTTGACACTCTAAAAGCTATGGATTATGCCTCCAAGTTCATTGCATTGTAAGTGAAAACAAATTTGCAGGAGCCATTCAAGTCTTGGCGATAGTTTTTCATATATCTAATTTACAAATTTGCAGTTTAGGATAAGATGCTTCTAAATCATACATGCTGATTGTAGAGATAAAAATTCACTATTTCCCATGTCACATAACTACGAAATGCATAGAGAACCAAAATCTTACGGAGTTCACTTATATTTTGTATCACAATCTTACAGTGACTGGCTCTGGCACTTGTAAAAATAAAAACGCCAAGAGATAATAAATAATAAGATGATAGCTGAATATGGATAGCTAACTAAGGCCAGTATCAACTGTAAAAGTTGAAGTACAAGAACAGGAAAAGGATAGTGATGAAACTATAGGCCATGTTAGATGGAATTTTAATACTCACGATTTTCCAGCACCGCTAACACCTATAAGAACAATAGCCACTCCTGTGAAAAAATAGCACACGTAATGTGAGACAAAAGAATTAGATGACATCAAAAGAAAAAGTTCAATGCTCAGATTCATATATAAAGTCATCAAGATATTGATCATGGAGTCGATAGGAAGGGTAAGGAAAAATCTGAAAAACAAACATAACCTTTATTAGATGCCATCTTTGAACAAATACTTAGATATCCGAGAGTTTCGACAATGTATCAAAAGCCAATGAAAATATGGGCGTCTGATGAACGGGATATTAGTTGCACACCTACAAATTTCATGGATGTTAGGAAATATGAGATTGTTATAAGAATAACAGATTATATTCCAGGATCATTACAAACAAATTTACAGCAGGAAATTTATTTGTTTCAAACAAGCCTGTAGTTGCAACGGAAAACAAAATAAGAACAAAATCCTGATATATAATCCTTAGAATTGTTGCACATCAGTTTATAGTACCATAACACAACACTGTTACTCTTGCTACAATGTCCATAACTTCGCACCAGGTCATGTGCGTATATGCTTGAAAGATACGATTTACAGATGCAACCATGCACCAATCCCAACAAGAAGACTCAAAAAGCAAACAGTTATGTAAAACTTTGTTAATGACAGATGTCAAGCCTCAAAAAATGAACCACAAATTGTTCCAGTAAGAAAGTATTTCTAAGGACAGCTACAAGAAAATATGTCCCGATTACCTACATGGAAGTTCTGTTAATAAATCAGTTTTTAAACAATTTGTTTCAGTGAGTCCACCAATTAAGCAACAGCCAATTCTAAATACTTTAAAGTGTACCACTGGAACTGACGAATGGTTACCAGTTGCAATGCAAGCAACGAAACAGATCTTAAAGACAGATATTTAGAGAGGGAAGCCAACAAATTATCATAGCATCATATATGAACATTAGTACTTTACTCACCCATATTCCTCCCTCACTTTGCTTCTTTACCCACAATATTTTGCTCCAACCTTCTACTAGTTACATGAAAAACTAGTTCATAAAATCCTTTCCGATTCTCCCTTTCAAAACCAAAATTCCAAGATTAATTTCAACAGCATCTTTCTATTATTTGGTAAGACTTGTTTGATGTAGGGAGATGTAACCACTTTCCCCAAAATCTCTAGCTAGTATGAGAGGTACAATCAAACCCTCTATCACCCATGATTAGGCCAGATAATCCAGCACTATTCTTTTGGGGTCAACCGCTTAAGAAATAGTCTCACCCCCATGTTCAAGTGATATTCCGCATCAATTATTCATTTCATATAGTGCAATGCTGTTTAAAAAGAAAACCAAAAGCTTGTTCATGTTCTTTCGGCTGCTAGGGAAAAATTAGCAGAGAAAATAAATACTTCAGGACTTATTTGTGAGCAAATGCTTAAACAACTTTAATGTGTTAGGGTTAACCTAATATATAGCACTTGACTCATACTATCATAATCAATGATTCTGTACAAATTAGCTTCGACTTCTTCCTAGATCAACAAAATTCCTCAGTTAAAACTTCAAAGATATCTCACCCTGTGGGATGTGATCAAACTACACAAGCACAAGGCAAAACATACACAAAGCCAGAAAATGAAAGCATAGACTTTCAAAACAGCTGGGATTTCGAGGTTGCCTCTACAAAAGATGTCATACATTGTATCATTACTTTCAATTTTTATACTAGAATCAAACTCCAGTAATAACCCATAAGTTCTCAAAATTATATGAAGATTTCCAAGCATCAAGTTCTATAATTTCACACAGTGACTGATGAAGACCATACAAATGGAAGCTTTCTTTTTCACACATAATGAAAACCATTTCGGCTCTGTAACGATAAAATACACGAAGTCTACCCTCAATGTTCTCAAAATTTTCCATGGTTTTTACTAGCCATTGAATAAAAATTTGGAATGCAGTTACCCCACATGCAAATTTACTAAGCTCTCCAAGTCAAAATATGACCTTGATCAACATCATCTTAAATATTACCATCATCTACAAGGAACTCCAAAAAAACTGATTGAACAAAAATACAATCCTTCACATTTGATCAATTTAAGAAAGTTACAATAAATCAATAAAATAACGACAAACCTCTCTTATTGAAACGAGAATTGCCCAGAAAATTAAGAATGATTGGTGGGTTTCAACTCAATTTCCTTGGCTTCGTCTTCTTTATATGTGGATATGAATCGGATAGGCAAGAGAGTCGTCGAGGCTTAAACTTTCCTTTATCATTCATGTATGTCAAAAGTAACCCTGTAAAGCGGTGAAATTTCTCCCAAGGGTAAGGCCNTCTTCTCATTCCAAATAGGGATCTTTGGGGTGAGGAATTTAGCCCATGTTTGGCCCCGTTAAATTTCATTCTATTATATTAAATTTTTCTCTCTTTTCATTACAACCACACATTCATCAAATAAAATAATATTACACCCAAATCTAAAACTTTTCATAACTTTTCCATCACATAATCTCCCATCAATCACTATTCTAAAAATTTCATTCTCCAAAAAATGGGTTTCAAACACCCTCTTAAATATATTTGCAACCTATTCTAATTGCAATTAAAGTCCTCAATCTTTAAACTTTATAATACTTGTATTCTTAACTTTTTCCTCGAATACTTTCGTCACATTTTTATATTTATTACTTGTTAAAAATATGATTGATAAATAAATCTTTTCATCCTCCTAACTAAATTTTTGATTGTTGATAATATAATTCACATGCACATATTTTCTTTGAGAAATACTAAGAAATTAAATTATAAAAAATCATTTATAACTTCTACGTGAAAGGCTACGATTAACTAGGTAGCAATTCTCGTTGCCTAAGTGATCAAGCATGTAAGGCGTCCATACCATTGACGAAAATTTATGTTTCTTGAGCTACTATATATTAAGCTAATTTTTAGTATTTGTATATAACTAGCATTTTTATGTTTTACATATTTGTTTTAATTTATAGCTTATTATAGAAAAAATTACTTATTTTTCAATATAAACAGTTCAATAAATGGGTTATCAACATGAGAAGAAGATTGGAAAAACTCATTGATTTACAAAGACTAATTTTCTTGATTTTTGGGGATGGTGGGGGGATTTTCAGTTAAACGAGTTTGGGATCATTGATTAATCCACAAAAATGGCTTAAAGATTTCTCTTCTCACTCTCTCTTTCCCTCTCTGAATTCGAAAAATACTGTTTCTCTGGCAATTTCTTTTCACAAAAGAGTTATCTATGTTGCCAGGGGAGCATTGTTCATCAACTTCTGGCCTAGAGCCTGAAAAAAGTACTGGTGATAATCCCAATGAAGATAATGTAGATGAAGATGACCCAGAAAGACAGGATCAAGATTCTGAAATATCCAAAGAAGAAACTGTGAATGATCAACAAGTAGAAGCAGATCAAGAACGTGGTGATGATCATCAGACAGAAAAAGAAGAAATGGAGGAGCCAACTGTCGGTACTCCTACTCGACTGCAAATTGAGTGTGGTCTCATATCCTCCACAGATGATGAAACAAATAAGGAAGATGAAACAGCAGAAGAGTATTCCCCACATTCTAGCCGCAAAAGGGAAAGAGAATCCTCAGAAGAGGAAAACGAAGATCATGAACAAGAACAGGAACAAGAAGATCAAGAACAGCAAGGAGATGAAGTAGAAGAACAACAAGAGCAGCGTGATGGTGAAGGTGATAATGCAGATCAAAACTCACCTGAATATATTCCTGAACAAGGAGAAATAGGACATGGTGAAGAAGAACAAGAAGAGGAGAAGGAAGTTGAGGATGAAAGAGGAAAAGCGATAGCAGAAGAAGAGAAAAAAGATGATGGTGTGTTAGTAGACCCAGAAACTCTTCAAACCATCGTTAATAAATCCGGTGGTTCTGATCATTACGATGATAGTGATTCACGGGACATTGAAATCTTGAAGGCTATGCTTGTCTACCAAGTACACGAAGGGCGTGTTCCTTTTAACGATGAATTGCACGAGTTACTCAAGAACTCAAGTGAAGTTGAAATTACTGTGGAGGAATTGGAGATGAAGTACTTGGTGTTACAGGCCAAGTTCGAAGTGATTGTCGAAGAGAAGGGCGAGGGACATGTATTTGATAGACCCTATTGTCAAGAGATGTTTTTTCTCTCAAAATGTTTATGGGGTAGTGGACTTTGATTGAGATGCTAATATCAGAAAAAGGAGACAGTTGAAGGTTTCAGAATTCAGAGTTTAGGGTTTGTTCATAGAGATTGCGTAGCAATGGAAATTGTTACTTCAGAGATAGTTATTAGGTCTAGCATTCTGATTCATTCATAAAAGCATCCAAGATTTTGTACTTCTTTTACCTATTCATTTTACTGAAAACATCAAGAACATTAGGCATTTTCATTTCAAAAGATTAAATTTTCTTTTTGATGTTCATATGTTCTTGAACCACTTGACAGGGATTTTGATATTCTTATAAGGCTGTTCTTGATATCCACACAATATAGTGGAACCGTGTAGTATATCCATTCAATTCCTAGTTGTCAAGCAAGGGCCGAAATAAATAACCACGAATGTCCCGGTTATCTGCCTGAACTTATTTAGTTTTACTGCTTTTGCATAAAGTAGCTCGTAGAGAGAAACCAGAAACAACCTAAAAAGAATTGTAGCAATTTAGCAAAATGACAGTACCTTGTAGCAACACATTCCCTTTGTAAAAATAGCGATTTTCGTCTGTAATTATTTAGGGTTTTCCTTCAATTTGATGTAGTTTGCTAATTTTCGGATGGCCTATGAGACTGTGTAACCAAAGAGAGGCGGCCTGGAAGAAATGAGTGTCACTAGACTCCTTTTAAGAGTTTTTGGCAGAATGCTGAGATTGACATTACATATATATATTATCAGAATGATCGAATGTTTTCATCAAAGTCATACGTGAAATTTTCATAAATTAGTGACTCCAAAACTTGAGCCTAAGAATTTTGTGCTTTAAATAGGGGATCAATCCACACAAACGCCCTAAAGATCTCTCTCTATAATTTCTCTCTGAATTGGGAGGATATTGTTTCTCACACTAGACACTTGCAATGGTGCAAGTAAACCATGGTTCACCATCTTCTGCCTCAGAGCATGAACGAAGTACTGATAATCTCAATCAAGATCAGAATGCAGATGAAGATGAACCGGAAACAGAAACAGGGCAAGAGCAAGATATTGAGATGCCCAAAGAAGAGTCTGAGAATGAACATTTGGTAGGTGATCAAGAAACAAATCAAGAAGATGGTGATGATGATCAAGAAACAAATCAAGAAGATGGTTATGATCATCAAGAAGAAGTGAATAGTCAAGAAGGATTTGATGATGATCATCAAGAAGTGGTGGAAGAAGAGGAGCCACCTGTCAGTAGCACTTCTATACAACAAACAGAGGAAGAAGTTAATCAAGAAAACAATGCGGAGGTCGACTCAGTGGAAGACGAAGGAGCAGAAGAGAGCCGGAAAAGGGGAAGAGAATCCTCCTCAGAGGAAAACGAAGAACAAAACGATGAAGAAAAAGAAGAAGATTATGGGAAAGAACAGCAAGTAGAAGATCAACAAGTAGAAGAACGAGAAAAACCACAAGAGCAGCATCCTCCTGAAGTTGATGGGCCCTTTTTTGATGCAGTTCTATACTCTCCTACTCCCCCTTCACCACAAAGTGTAGACTATGCTAGATGGGTCCAATATCATTCACAGCTACCATTAAATTCACTCGGATATGACCAATCTGTAATTGAACGACACCACTCGCCTGAAAATATTTCTGAACGAGGACTGGGAGGAGGAAATGGTGGTGAAGATGAAGAAGGGGAACATCAAGTAAATAGGGAAAAAGGAAAAGCAATCCTAGAAGATGAAACAAAGGAGAATTATAAAGAAAGAGAAATTTATTCCATGATGATTAAAAATTGTTATGACAGTGATGATCCCCGAGACAGAGAAATCTTGAAGGCTATGCTTGCCTACCGACTAGACAATAGTATCATTCCCGAAATTAAACAATTGCACAACTTCATCAAGAATGAGAGTACATTTGAAATTTCTGCTGAGGAATTGAGCATCAAAGTATTGATATTGCAGGCAAAGTTCAATCTTATTGTGGAAGAGTATGGTCTAAACCCTGCATTCGATGAACTCCATAATCAAGAGATTTTTGATCTCTCAAAACAAATATGGGGGTGAAATTGGAGGCAATTTAGATGTCAATATAAGCAAACTAATGACACTTAAGGTTTCAGATTCTGTTAACTATTCTTTTTACTGAAAAACGTTAAGAAAATTAAACATTCATTTGTATTTTCAATTCGAGAATCTGAAATGTTACATGAACAATTTACTTCTGCTCTTCTCGATCTTTTGAAAATCTGGTTTGAATCAAGTTTTGGTCATCTTTTGCCGAGTGGGTGGAGAAAGACGGCGATGCTAGGTTTTTCCTTCTTTTTCTTCTTCTTTCTTTTTTCTTTCCATTTTCTTCTTCTTTTTTCATTCTTTCTCTCTCTATATTGATGGTTTAGGATTTTGTTTGTATAAAGTAAATATGGATTCTATAGTGCTACTAGTGCTCAACTAAGTTCAAATTACAACCAAGTTCCTCATTTTCTATTTTATATAACATTTAGTAATTCTTATTATTGAAAACTAAACCCCAAAATTCTATTTTATTCTTCTTAACCCCTTATTATATACTCATTTCATTCATTGTGACTAATTAATTTTGGTCTATTCAAAATGATATCTTGAATTAGTAAAAAAATTGAAGTTTAAAAGACGTACCCACGTACCCGTGTCCAAAATTTGGACTCTTTTTAGTCATGTCCCCGTATCCTACATTTTAACCTACATTTTAGAAAATAAAAAATCCGACACTTAGATACATACCCTACCTCATACATTTACCCGAGTTCGAGCATCATAGGTCTATATTGGTTAGCCGTATTTTGAAACACAAGAAAAATTATTGACTGAAACAAATTATCTGATATTATACATTTACCAAATGTATTTTAAAAGTACAAGCCTTACATATATAGCTTGCAAGGTCATCTTCCTTAAGCAAAACAGACCAGCAACCTATACATGGAAAATGGAAAGGCTTAATCTGCCAATGTGTTGATTATATACCCTTCACAATTGTGTTCAGCGATTATGTTCCTGATTTATCATTCTATTATACATGTCGATATAGTCTGAAGATTTTAGGGCAATTTGTAGCTCAGTTCTCCTTGTGATGCTACATTTTCTTGAACCGCTTGACAGAGGACTTTGGTATCCTTGTGGGGTTGTTCTTGAAATCCACATGATATAGTCTGAACCAAACACTATATCCTAAGTGTTAGGATTTGTAACAAAAATTATATGTGATTTAGGAGTTTATTGCATGTAGGAAGCTTGATTAATTTTGGTTTAGAAGTTCGGTTTGATTAGGAATCAAATATCATCATGTTTTGTTGGAGTTTGATTGAGTTAAGGACTTCTTGGATGGATGAAAGAGGTGTTTTGGAAAAACTAGGATGGAGCCGGAAGCAAAAGAGAAAGAAAAAACGCGAAGGGGAAAATTGGAAAGCAACCTAGCGCCTAGGCGCTGGGCGGTAGCGCTCAGGCGCTACCGCTGCAGAGGAATTTTACTCGGTTTTGGTTTCTGACACGATTTTGGACTCCTACCTCATCCATAACTTCGTGATTTGGTTTCTATAAATACTCCACAAGGTATAGACACTTTACAAAGGCAATACACAAGAAATTAAGTGACTCTCGAGAGATCATAACAATTTAGATCATTGGTTGTATACATTAGGAACAAGATAGAATTGTTTAAAAATACTCCACAAGTTATAGGCACTTTACAAAGGTCAATACACAAGAAATTAAGTGACTCTTGAGAGATCATAACAATTTAGATCATTGGTTGTATACATTAGGAACAAGATAGAATTGTTTAGATTAGACTGAGAAGATCAAATCTTGTAAGATAATTGTTGGCGTTTCTTGGTATAATAAAATTCTCATTTTCCACAATATTCTTGGTTGTTGTGTGATCCATTACAACTTTATATTGCTTATACTCATTTTCTTTAATTATTTGGACCTTTTTTTTACAACAAGTGGTATCAGAGCCAAAGGTTTTTTGGCGGTTTTTTGGGAGGTCAAAATTAGTTATTAGAGTAAAGTTTGAACAAGGTCGATTGTTCAGGGATGGCGGCTTTGAAGTTTGAAATTCCACTTTTGGATTGCAACAGTAGATTTTCATTGTGGCAAATCAAGATGCGAGCGGTTCTAGCTCAATTGGATCTTGATGATGCTTTGTTGGGGATTGATAGAATGCCTGTAACAATGACAGTGGAAGAGAAACGATAGAAGGATCGGAAAACCCTATCTCAAATACATCTTCATCTTTCCAATGAAATTCTTCAGGACGTGGTAAAGGAGAAAAGTGCCGTTGCAATATGGTTAAAGTTGGAGCAGCTTTGTATGACAAAGATTTTACAAGTAAGTTACACTTGAAGCAACGCTTGTACTCTCATCGCTTGACGGAAGATGGATCTTTGGAAGGTCATCTATCGGTGTTCAAGGAAATCGTCCCTGATTTGGAAACAATGGAGGTTGAGTATGATGAGGAGAACTTGGGGCTGATTTTGTTATGTTCATTGCCGCCTTCATATGTGACTTTTAGATATACCATTCTCTATAGTCGGGATACTCTTACAATTGACGAGGTATATGATGCGCTTTATTCTAAGGAGAAGATGAAGCATTTGGTCATCTGTTCTGAGGCTCTTGGAGAGGGTCTTGTTGTTCGTGAGAAGAAGACGGGTAGTCATGGAAGGAACATAGTCAAAGATAGCAACGATAGTATAGTCTGTTGGTATTGCAACAATAAGGGGCACATGAAGAGGGATTGCTATGAGTGGCGGAAAAGGTTTGCTACTAAGGATCAGGATAAACAAACAGAAAATTTCGGTAATGCAAATCTTGCAGAAGAGAACAGTGATGGAGATTTGTTGGCAATTACTGAAGGTGACTCCAAACCTGACGAGGATTGAATTCTTGATTCAGCTTGCACTTTTCATATGTGTCCAAATCGGGAATGGTTTTCTTCATATGAAACAGTTACAAGGGGTTCCGTGAAGACGGAAAGCAATAAGCCTTGTAGAATTGCTGGGATTGGTAACATCAAAATCAAGATGGTTGATGGAAATGTTAGAACTCTTGGCCAGGTTCGACATGTTCCAGGTATCAACAAAAATGTGATTTCCTTAAGTACTCTTGATGCAAAGAGGTACAGGTACACCGATGGAGGTGGAGTTCTGAAAGTTAGCAAGCGTTGCCCAGGTTGTGTTAAGGGGGCAGAGAAAGTCTCGGTTATATGTGTTGGAAGGTTCGGCGATCACGGAGGAAGCAGCTGCAGCTTATGGTTTGGTAAGCGATAACTCGGGAAGAGTTGTTCGTCATCGGGTTGTTCGTGATAATTCGAACAAGGCTTTTAGTAGCTCGGGTGGAGTTGGTTGTGATCTTGTTGATCATGTTGCTCATGGTGATTTAAGCAGGTTTGACAACTCAGGTGGAGTTGGCATTACTTGTAGTGATTCAAACAAGTTTATTGACTCGGCTAGAGCTGGAAGTGAACGAGATAATTCAAGCAAAGATGGCGCGCAAGGTAGTTATGCTGGTTTGCAGGGCTTGGATATAGTTCACAGTTGCTGAGTGTGCCTAGAAGGGGCATGGCGTGCCCCGGCGGGGGCATGGGGTGTCCAGTGGGGACATGGTGGAAGAGTTGGAGAATGACTTGAAGAGTGGAGATTAATTCTTTGTTATGGAATTTGTGTCAATGTGGAGTTTGTTAGGATTTGTGACAAAAATTTTATGTGATTTAGGAGTTTGTTGCATGTAGGAAGCTTGATTAATTTTGGTTTAGAAGTTCGGTTTGTTTAGGAATCAAATATCATCATGTTTTGGGAGTTTGATTGAGTTAAGGACTTTTTGGATGGATGAAAGAGGTGTTTTGGAAACACTAGGATGGACCCGGAAGCAAAAGGGAAAGAAAAAATGTGAAGGGGAAAATTGGAAAGCAACCTAGTGCCCGAGCGTTTCCGCTGCGGAGGAATTTCACTCGGTTTTGATTTTTGACGATATTTTGGACTCCTACTTCATCCATAACTTCATGATTTGGCTTCTATAAATACTCCACAAGGTATAGACACTTTACAAGGGCAATACACAAGAAATTAAGTGACTCTTGAGAGATCATAACAATTTAAATCATTGGTTGTATATATTAGAAACAAGATAGAATTGTTTAGATTAGACTGAGAAGATCAAATCTTGTAAGACGATTGTTGATGTTTCTTGGTATAATAAAATTCTCCTTTTCCACAATATTCTTGGTTGTTGTGTGATCCATTAAAACTTCATATTGCTTATACTCTTCTTCTTTAATTATTTGGGCTTTTTTTTTTACAACACTAAGTTCCATTCCCAGTTGTCGAGCAAAGACCAAACGAATAACCACGAATGTCTCATTTCCATGGACGATCAATTCAAACTGCAGAGCCAAGTTATATGCTTAAATAAGGGGTTTCCTTATCCGCGAAGTTAACCCTGTCGCGTCCATTGCTTACTAACAAGTTATTCGTGAAATTGGTGGCACTGAAAGTGTTAACTTCCAAATTAGTAGCTGTCAGAAGGCCAATACATGAAAATCAAGTATGAAGCTGAAAACAGCAATGTCATTATAGAATCTTGTTCCTCAAGTCTTTTAGATGGACTAAACAATAGCAATTGTCATGCCCTAACAAAAGCCTGGAATTTTCTTACTTAAAGGACGAAGAATGTAGCAGAATAAAATGTGTGTCACTGGACTTTTAAAGAGTTTTTGGCAGTATGTTGAGGTTGACACTACTTGCTTATACTTTTGGAAACACCGAAGATACATTTTTATTTAAAGTCTTGCATGTAAAACTGTCATAAATGAGTGACCCGGCCCGAGACTTGAACCTAAGAAGCAAGTATTTTTTTTCCCTACTTCGATAGCATGAACTACATATTAAGGGTGGTAGAGTCCTTTTAGATTAATGACATTAGTAGTTTTGTTAATGGACCAAATCACATCATCGGGGTTATGCACACTATCCAGAGGAGCCTCAATCCCAACGATCAAGGAAACATAGGTGAGAATACCTTAAGCT